GCGGCAGCTACCAGCGAGGTATTTGGTTTTTTTTAATGCTTGGTCTAAAATATAAAATATTATTTCGGTATGCTAGTATAAGGAATTAGAAAAGGTCGATTTCGATAACATGCAAATTATAAGGAAAGTAATGATTTTTGTTTTGCACTTAATATGCAGGTTGGTAAGGGTTCCATTCTTTTGGTTCTTGTAATGCTTTAAGCTGATTTATTGCGATATTATGCATATCAGCTCATTTTTTTGGCAGTAAATATAACTATATTGCTTTTTTTACATAAAATAAGTGAACTACCGTGTGCAACAAGGGCTTAAAATGGAATACAGAATTATCAAATACGAACTGAATGTTGAATTTTGTCAAATAATATGTCGATATTAACTGTTTGAGATGAAACCATTCTCAGAAGGAAATATGCTTAGTCTTTTTGAAACTTTTTGAAAAATGCTGCAGACATTTTACTTCTTGCTATATCTTCATAAGTAGCATATAGTTTTTGACTTTGTGCTTTGATGTTATTTATATGACATCATATGACATTACCTTTTCTGATATATTCATTTCGACCACTATTCTCTTCGCTTTAAATCTCTGTCCTCTCAGGTAGAATTGACAAAAAAACCGGATGTTGTTAATCCAAGCAGTGTCATCCTAGGTAAAGTCTTATTTGTAGCCCACGTTAGTAAGAGCAAAATATTTTAAAGCATGTTTCAGATGGATATCCGGCACTCAGTAGTAACCCTGAAATACTCGTCTATCCTAAATTCATGAGGTTAGTTGGTTGCCTCATCGTTGTTCCATGTTTTCCAATAGTGAGAATTGAGCGGTTCCATTTTGTATAAATGCCTAACATTGGCTTTGTATTCCCACACCATCCATTTAGCAATTCATGGAGACATCGCTCACGGCCATCGAAAGCCAGTCAGTCTGCGGTGGCTCATGAGAATACAAAGGTTTGGTTGTTTGCTTTATTTCTTTTGGTTGCTCACTTTTTTTAATCACTTCATAATGTATTAGATTGTCACAGAGTTTGATTTTTCCACTTTTCAATTTCTTTCCAGTGCATCTAACAATATGTTTGCTCGAACAACATTATTGACAGCGTATTAGCTTCCCATAAATTTGGAATTAATGTTGCAAAAATTACTTTTTGCCCATTTCAT